TTCAATATTTAAAAAGACGCACCCATTTGATTTTTTTTTTTTATTGGGACTAAGTCAGTTAGTAGTCAATGTAATGCACTTTTAAACTGAATTAAACGAATAAATAAAGTATAAATGTGCGCATATTAATAAATAAATTGACTCATATCATTTTAAGAATATGCCAACGCACATTGTAATAGCAATAGGCGCATTTTAAATTATATTTGTTCCGTGTATTTTATGTTGTACATACACGTACACGCGTATTAAGTGTAAATTTAACGCATATTAAAGCAATAAGTTCCGATAGATTTGTACTTGGCACTGGAAATAAGTGAGAAGTCAATTTCGGTGTCAGCAATTTTTATATTTCCCATAATGGTAATCTTTCGAAGTTGAATGGTCATTCAATATTTTAAAAAGACGAAACCATTGAATTTTCTTTTTATTGGGTCTAAGTTAGTGAGCGTACAATATCACACACATGAAGGATGAAAGACACGCATATTAACGTGTTTAGGTGTGCATATGAGTGAATGAATCGACGCATTTTGCTATTTAAACCCACCATTCTGCTAGTCTCAAATCTGTCACTTACAAACACATTTTGCTTTTGTATTTTCCCTTTTAGGAAAATTTTCAATGGCCGCTGAACTTCACTCTGGAATTGTTGGTAACGAACTTCGGATAGCACTGCGGTGGAATTACATGAAGGTCCGAGTGATTCGTGTTGTTCGTCTGCCAGAATCAAAAGGTTCTAAAAACATCAAGTCTATAGAGTGTGTGTTGCATAATTTTGAGGTATTTTTTTTTATTAACCGTATTATAAATCTTAATATTTTATATTTCTAAAATTTACTGTTGATGCATTTTTTTTTTAATAATTTAAGGAAACTTTAATACACATGCACATTCCACAAGCGCATGTTCAAAAGTGCTTCAACAAATTTGAAGTAGGCAAAGCCTATCTAATCAATAGATTCGACGTGGCGTATAACACCTATAGAAACAAAACTTCGCCTCTCAGGTATATGTTGATGTATTGTGATAGAACTCGCGCAGGAGTGTTGAGAGATGAAGAGTTGCCAACATATGTTTATGATCGAGAAGAATACAATTTCGACGAAGAGGTGACCTATTGCATACTTACATTTTTTTTATATAATTTTATTGATGTATTTACAGTTTCATAACTTTCACGATTTTATGGATCAACAGGTGCCCGACGCGACAGTTGCAAATTTGTCTAATGAGGATCGAAATAAGGAGGAGGCTGCGTAAGGATGAATAACGATGAATGTGTGAACATTTTATGTTTTTCATGTTATTTGTTATTCCGTATTATTGTACTCCAACAATTTTAGTTTGAATGATATATTATGTTTATTATGGTGATATATTATTTCATTATTGACGCATCTTCTTTTAAGAACACCCCATCGCACATTGTCATATTAATAGATGATGATAGATACGCATAATAAAGTAAGTGAGTGTACAATCTCATGCACATTAAGAATGTTAGATACACACTATAAATTGTTAACATGCGCATATTAATGAATAATAAAGTCTTCTAAAGTTGACTGGTCATTCAATACATAAAAAAAAAAAAAAAAAAAAAAAAAAAAACGCACACATTGATTTTTATTTATTTATTTTTTTTTTGTTTTTTATCGGGTCTAAGTCAGTGACTTTACAATCTCATGCACATTAAGAATGAAAGATGCGCATAATAACGTGTTGGCGTCCGCATATTAGAGAATAAATTGAAGCATATTTTTTTAAGAATACCCCAGACTCACGTATTTTCTAATGCACATTATGTTACTGTATTGCGCATGTTAAGATTTTTTTTTATTTGCCACGGACTAATGTTTAAATAGATAACGAAACGCAAATTTTGTTGCAGTATTATGCATATTGAGCGTACGTATTGCGCATGTCAAGCTTTTTGCTTGTTTTTAATTTTCAGGAATTGCTCTTTAACATTTTTTTTAATATAATTAAAATAATGGATGAGCCCACTGGTGAAATGGTAGAAGTCTTTGATCAAACTAATTTCGGCCAAGATCGAACCCCCATAAAGGCTTGATTTTTTTATTATATTTTATTTGTTTTTCGTTTAATAAAATATAATAAACGCATGTTAAAGTGATATTTCGCGCTCTTTAATTGGTTTCCCGACGCACTTTAAACTTTTGGCTTCAAAAAATATCGTATTTCGATAAAAGTTAATTAAATGTATATTTAAACGCATATTGTTCTTGTAGTCCGCGCATGTAACAGAGCAAAGCAAAGCACATTAAGTGTTTTATAACAATCCACATAATATTCAAAGATATTTGATGTCAGAACTTTAAGGCATTTGTAGTTGGGGAGACGGATAACATTGAATGGTCATTCAATGCCTTAAAAAACGCGCTCATTCACGCAACATTGAAATCTTCAAATCAGTGCATGGGACCAAGTTATTCGCCTATAAATTGGAAAGAACAACACACAACTGAGCATTAGTTTTCATTGAAATGGCTACCTCTCACATGTCCATACGTACAGAAGAACCATCTTCTTTTATTCCTCATCTTGCATGTCCTCTTCACCCCCCTCGCCCTCCAGATTGTAGTGATTGTAAATAAATACAAAGACAACACATTCTAAACCTGAAAGAACACTTGTCATCCTCAGCTGCAAGCTCGTCATGCTGCAACCAAACATCATTCAAGGCTGAGAGAGTTGAGCATCCGACATCCCAAATAACACCTACGGCTGCCAGGAATCTATCATATACAGCAAGCTTACAGACCACGAGCCCACATGCATCTACACTCCTTGCTCATGTCCAAATCGAGCTTGTAAGCTCAACTGCAAGTTCATCATGCCGCAACCAAACATCATCCAAGGCTTAGATTTGAGCATTGTGGCAGGCTGGCAGCATGTCGGATGATGCCGGAACTAGAAGAAATGTCTTCAAAGTACTAGAAAAGATGCACTGAATGTTATTGGTGTTGTTTCAATGTGTATTTATGTTTACAAATACTAATATATTAGAGTGTAAATTATTATTTTTATTAATATAGAAACCAACGCTCATTGTGTTCCAATATCACGCATTTTAAATTGATATGTCGCGCATGTTAAATTCAAAGCATGTATGTGTCATTTTATATGCAAATTATTTCATAATCAAACAAACGCACTTTAAGTTTTGCAATCGCGCATACTAGACTAATTTTCAACGCAATGACTGAATAATTACGTTTTTATACATAAACCAACGCACATTAATGCAGAAGTCTTTGATTAAACCAACGCACATTACATTTTTATGCATAAACCAACGCACATTACGTTTTTATACATAAACAAGCTCTCATGTCTGCCTCTGTTGTTGTTATTATTAGTATATTATAATCAAAGTAACGGATGAGCCCAATGGTGAAATGGTAGAAGTCTTTGATTAAACTGATTCCGCTCAGTATCGAACCTCTATAAACTTTTGGATTTATTAATAAAATATAATAAACGCATCTTAGAATGATATTTCGCGCACTTTAATTGGTTTCCCGTCGCAAATTAAACTTTTGGATTTATTAATAAAATATAATAAACGCATCTTATAATGATATTTCGTGCACTTTAATTGGTTTCCCGACGCACATTAAACTTTTGGATTTAAAAAATCTCTTATTTCGATGCAAATTAATTAAATTTATATTTACACGCATGTTGTTATTGTAGCTCGCGCATGTAACAGAGCAAAGCAAAGCACATTAAGTCTTTTATACCAATTCACGTAATATTCAAAGATATTTGATGTCAGAACTTTAAGAGCACTTGTAGTTGGGGAAACAGATAAATTAGTTCTTCAGTTCTAGCACTTGTAGGCCGGTTGTCAATAAATGCCTCAAACCTTTCTTGGAAAGTTGGATCATTAAGATCCTTCTTCAGTTCTGGCAGATATTCTTTTGGTATGAGGGAAAGGGGTTTTCGGGGTTTGTTCGACTGTTTGACAGAATCCATCTTTCTTTGTTCTTTAGAGATGAGAAGATGTGAATTTGTGATGGATTATCCATTCTTTAAATAGACTCTTCAACATATTACCGGCTGATGAACGGGTGCATTTTAAATGAAATTAAATGAAATCTCTTAAAATAAGTGTCAACTGTATTTAATTGTCAGCAATTTTTTCATTTCCCATAAAGGAAATCTGTTAAAGTTGAATGGTCATTCAACTTATAAAAAAACGCACCTATTAAATTTTTTTTTATTGGGTCTAAGTCAATTAGTATACAATGTAATGCATATTTAGACTGAAATACACGAATAATAAAGTATAAATGTGCGCATATTAATCAATAAATTGACTCATATTCTTTTGAGAATATCCCAACGCACATTGTAATAGTAACAGACGCATTTTAAATTATTTTGTTCCATTTATTTTAAGTTGTACATACATGCACATAAATGGTCATTGAATCCTTAAAAAACGAACCATTTTTTTATTGGGTATACTGTATAGATACGCATAATAAAGAGTCAACATGCGTATATTGATATACGCATTTTAAATTATATGTGCTGCACATGTTAAGTTATATATACACTCACACGCATGTTAAGTTATATATAGACTAATATTTAGCGATTCTTTGTTATTTTTATTTTGCGCGTGTAATGTGATTACACATTGGGAATATGCCTAGCCGTTTTGAAAGGCAAGTATTCGTATTAAAGTATCATACAATCCTTGGTTCCCAAGGAGTTCATTTAATGTAGAACTCTTGGTAGTGTAAACAAAATGATTAATATCAACGCATAAGGAAGGCCTCCAGCCTACATGTTATGAGATGCATGCAGTAAATTAACAAGAAAAAAATATATATTACATAGAATATGCCGAGTTTAAATCTGCATATAAACATTGAATGAGATGTTCGATTTCCAAGACAGTGGCTGCTGGTTATCTCTTGGTTTATTTGAATATTCAATCTGTATAAATAGCCGGCTTCTTCATGCGAAAAACCCTTCCCAAATCCAGGTCACTTTACTACCATTTCAAATCAGTGTTGGTCTTTCAAGATGCCTTCCATGTTCATTGCTGTCAAAAAATCAAGCCGGAACACCAGCTCAGGGCAATCAGGGTGAGAGCAGTACGGGTATACGAAGTGCCTGAGAAAAGGGGAGAGGGCCAGGCCAGTAAGAGCATGGAAGTATTGTTCCATGATGAAGGGGTACTGGTTTTTTGTTTCAAAAAATCATATTCATGCTATCTCCTAATCTAATGGTCTTTCAATGTGTATAATTTTTTTTTTTTTTGATTGGCAGGGAGACTACATTCATGCCAGCATTAGGAAAAAAGACATTGTAAAATATAGAAAAATATTACAAGAAGGGAAAGTTTTTGAAATCAAAAACTTCATGGCTTCTACAAATTACTATGTCTACAAGATTACAGAACATGACTTCCTGATCAAATTCAACTATAGAACACAAGTGAAGGAGATACATTCTAATGGGTTTCCTTTCAAAATGTTTCGGTTAAAGAGTTTCATTGCTTTGAAAGATCCTGCAGATGTTAATGACAAGGAACTGATTGGTACTAACTTTGCTTTTCTTATATTTGTTACTATCTTACTAAACTTAACTGCTAATATATTCCTAACATGTTTCTGTACTTTTTTCTAATTTTTTGGTAAATTGGCAGATGTGATTGGAAGGGTCAGTGTGATCTATAATCCTGTGGACAAGATTATAGGTGGAAAGGCAACCAAACTCATTGACTTTCAAATTGAAGACAATGCGTAAGTTTTTAAAAATGAACTTTGAATCAATTATAAACTGATGATGTGATTTTTTAATGTAATACTTCTTTTTTTCTGTTTGGAATCCAGTGACAACACCCTGACATGTACACTTTGGAATGGACATGTATATTCCCTTATGCCTTATTACAATAGTGATTCGAAAGAACCACTGATTGTAGTCATTCAGTGCTGTCGGGCTAAAGTTATTAGTGGTGAGTTTATCTATACTTTTCTGTTTAATATCTATTAATCAATCCAGCTTTTAGACTAATATATATCTGTATATTTTTTTTTTTGGCAGGTGAGGTTAGAATAACCCATTCATATGATGCTACGAAGCTTTGGTTCAATGAGGATTTTGAGGAATTCCAAGAGTTTATGTCAAAGTAAGTTCATCTTTTTTATTTGTCCTATTTGTTAGATTCATCTGTAATAATGTATACTCTATTATGTATTACAGATTTTAGAAAAACAAAATTGTTATTTTAACTGCTGTTTACTGTGTTCTAGAAAAAAAAGATATTATCTAAAATTCTATATATATTGTAATCTACATTTGTGACTTTAGTAGCATGTTGTACACTGTATATATTTTTCCAACTTTAGCAAACTACTAATCATAAAATTTGATAGCTATTTTCAGCAAAGTAAATAAGGCTAATAGGTTGTTTAAACACATTTGTTTTTGTGTTTTAGTCAAGTAAAAGTATGTGCATTCAGATTGTATAAAAGTTTCTAATATTTATGAAGGTTGAAAGCTAAAATACTCCAATGAGAAGTCTTAGTACTGGCACCCTACATTTAAACTCTACAGGCATTAGTGAGTTTAAAAATGCTTCTGTTATTGTCACTAACTGCCATGATCTTAAGAAGGTTAAAGAGGTAATCCACACACTCTGCTAGCTCTTCTTACTTTTATTTTAGTTCACTGATTTGGTTAATTGGTATATCTGCTTATAAAATGATGTGTATAGTATAGGATGGGGAATACTATGTAGCTGCTGAGATTTTGGGGTTAGAGTTTGAGGATGGTTGGTACTATTTATCATGCCTGGCACCGGGATGTAATAAGAAACTAAAAGAACAGGAAGGATCACTGATTTGTACTAAGTGTCACAAGCCTTGTATGATGGGTATAGTTAGATATAAAGTTGTTGTAATTGCTCTTGACAAAAGTGGAGATGCTCCACTATTGCTTTGGGATAGAGAAGTGGCAAAACTTGTGGGTATTCCTGCTTCGATTTTGTATGCAAAATACAAGGAGGTAATTTTTTCTTTTTGCCTATACAAAATTTAGTCTATACTTTTTAATGCAGTTTGTAATTTAGTATTTTATCACCTACCTAAACAGGTTGATGTTGAAGTGCCACCTGAGTTGGATGCTATAGTTGAAATGAAGATGCTATTTAAGATCAATTTTAAGCTGGCTCTAAAGAGGGGTCCCAATTACCCATTCAATGTTGTGAGGGTGGTCAGGGAAGAACACTTGCTGAAAACTTATATTGACATGTTTGTGGAGCATCAAGACCAAGACTTAATGTCTACGATGATTAAGGAGGAAACTAACACTGATGCAAATTCTGAAGTAAGAATTTCAAACCAACCGTCTTTAAAATGTTTTTTTTTTTATAATGAGGGTGACTAATTTGGTTTACTCCTTTTGTTAATAACAGAAAGACTCTAGTGGAGTGGAGGTTAATAGTCCTGCATCTGTCCACTCCTCACAAAAGGAAGGAGATGACAGTGCTGACAACTCTGGAGCTATTAAAAGGTCACTTTTGGATGAGTGTTCATCATCAAAAAGTATGAAGAAGTTGAAGGAATCAGAGATCAGAAAGGAAAAAATGTAGTACTGCAAATGGTTGTTTGTGAATGTTGTGACCCTGTTACTGTCCAGACCTATTGACTATTTTGACATTTTCTAATCCTGTGCTGTGATAATTATTCAACTTTAGTTTTTGTGATATTTTCTAAGTTTTAATTACTGTTTTTATGAGATTGCCAAACTGTTTATTACCATTGTGTTCCAATATCACGCATTTTAAATTGATATGTCGCGCATGTTAAATTCAAAGCATGTATGCGTCATTTTATATGCAAATTATTTCATAATCAAACAAACGCACTTTAAGTTTTGCAATCGCGTATACTAGACTAATTTTCAATGCAATGACTGAATAATTACGTTTTTATACATAAACCAACGCACATTAATGCAGAAGTCTTTGATTAAACCAACGCACATTACGTTTTTATACATAAACAAGCTCTCATGTCTGCCTCTGTTGTTGTTATTATTAATATATTATAATTAAAGTAATAGATGAGCCCAATGGCGAAATGGTAGAAGTCTTTGATTAAACTGATTCTGCTCAGGATTGAACCCCCTAAAGACTTGATCTTTTTATTATATTTTACTTGCATTTTTTTAATAAAATATAATAAACGCATCTTAGAATGATATTTCGCGCACTTTAATTGGTTTCCCGACGCACATTAAACTTTTGTATTTATTAATAAAATATAATAAACGCATCTTATAATGATATTTCGCGCACTTTAATTGATTTCCCGACGCACATTAAACTTTTGGATTTAAAAAATCTCTTATTTTGATGCAAATTAATTAAATTTATATTTACACGCATGTTGTTATTGTAGCTCGCGCATGTAACAGAGCAAAGCAAAGTACATTAAGTCTTTTATACCAATTCATATAATATTCAAAGATATTTGATGTCAGAACTTTAAGAGCACTTGTAGTTGGGGAAACGGATAACATTGAATGGTCATTCAATGCCTTAAAAAACGCACCCATTAGAGGATATCTTGAAAACTCTAATGTGTCTGTAAATCATGCAACATTCAAATCTCAAATCAGTGCATGTGACCAAGTTATTCACCTATATATAAATTAGAAGGAACAACACACAACTGAGTATCAGGTTATTGAAATGGCTATCTCTCACTTTTCCGCACGTACAGAAGAATCCTCATCATTTATTCCTCATCTTCTCTGTCATTTTCATCTTCCTCGCCCTCCAGCTTGTAGTGATTGTAACTAACTACAAAAACAACACATTCTAAACCTGAAGCATCATTTGTCATTCTCAGCTTCAAGCTCATCATCTAGTTTCCAAACAACATCCAAAGGCTGAGAGTTGAGCATTTGTGGGTGGCTGGTGATGTGTCGGATGCTACCGGAACCAGAAGAAATGTCTTCAAAGTACTAGAAGAAATAAATATGTGCACTCATTTATGTATGTATCATTTTTGTCTGCAGATTATTTCATAATCAAATAAACGCACTTTAAGTTTTGCAGTCGCGCATATTAGACTTATCTTTAACGCATCATATATTAACTAATAATTAAACGCACATTAGAGAAAGATAGTGTTAAATATTGCCTTTGTACGCATATTAAGCTTTAATGTCGCGCAAGTTAAATGTTAATCGACGCATGTAAAGACGTTGGCATTTACCACGGACCAAAGTTTCTATACATAAACCAACGCACATTCTGTTTCTGTATTACGCATATTAAGTTTTAATGTAGCGCACGTTAAAAGTGTAATCAACGCATATTAAGAATTAACTGCACGCAGGTAAAATAGTAATAACATGCACTTTAAGCTAGTAGCAATGATTGTTAAACACAAATCAGTGATAAAAACAAAAACTAGTAATAGCTGGACATTAAATTCAAGTATCTCAACTGTAAAAAGCGTTCTGAAATGAGTTAACTAAGCATTTGTGTTTCATATTTGCTATCTATTTTCGTTCTCGACTGTAAAGGCATTGAAAAAATAGTCTGCTATGCCTTTTTCTTACCCTTTTGCTTGTCCTTATTTTTGGGGTTAAGTGGGCAAGTCCTGGTGTCATGTTGATCTCCTCTAACACCACAAAAATTGCACCTCCTGCCCTTTTCTTTTTCCATTGCCAACTCCTTGCTGCTTTTGATACGTTTGCCGTTGCCCTTGTTCTTTGCATGTTTCGGTGGAAGTATATTGATCTCTGAAATCGCTATTGATCCACAAAAGGATTCTATAACAGTCTTTCTGCTGTGCTGAGGGGATAACTTTTCCTTTCTTGACATCAGCAGCTGTTTCTGTTCATTAATCACTTATGAAAATGCAGCCAATTGCTCCATGTTTGAACCTGCCAGATCCATACAACAGTGTATATCAGACCACACTTTGTTCAGCAACATCTTCTTTTCATCCTTTTGGTCCATTCTGATCATAAATGACACCATCTATTTCAAATGTAGCTTTTAAATATGCATCCTTAGTCCACCGATTAACCACGTACTTTAGAGGGATCTTTTCAAGGTCTCTAAAGACCACAAGTATGTGTCTACACAACAGTCCAACCATCTCAAACATCTTGCAACTGCATTTGGCCTCATGGTCATTTACATTCTGCACCACAGTAAATCTTTTGTTCTTTCCATCCATAATATCATAGTGCAACATTCCACCATATTCTCTAACACTCAACACCATACATTTGAAACAGGAGGCACATATTTCTTCCTGAACTTGATAGAAAACAGTAATGGTGTAGACGATTGAAGCGTGTTTTTCAATCCCCAGAGGCGTCTTCATATCTGGATTGTAGCCTTCATTGTCACTGTTGAGCTTTGCATTTGTGTTACGTTGTGATTTAAGAGCACTGTCAGAGTTCATCATGAATTCAACTAGGCTTGATTGGGGACCAGTAAAATGGTTGTACGTGTAGTTCTCACTTTCGGAACGAGAAGTTGTCCTGAGTAGACCCCCCATAAAGCCATCTCTAAAATACGTTGGGATCCAATGCTTTCTAGCCTCAAACATAGTTGTAAACCAATTGTGTTCGACTAAGTTGTACTTTTCCATGAGCTCTCTCCACTGCTTCTCAAAATCAGGAGGTTCCAAAGATGACGTCCAAACGATTGAGCTCAGTTTGTTCCTGAATTCCTCATCCTTGTTCAGCGTAGGACCCACCTTTCCCCAACTTTACACATGATGTGCCACATGCAATAACGATGCCTGGCTTGCTTGAAAACTGTTGGAATCGCCACTTTCATAGCTGGATCTTGATCGGTGACAATTATTCTTGGTTCTATACCCATTGCCTTTTTAAATTTTTCAAAGAGCCAAACATAAGACTCAATGTCTTCTTTCAACAGTAGTCCAGCACCGAATGTTATACATTTTTTATGGTTATCAACTCCGGTGAAGGGTGTAAAAACCAGTATTTGTGCATCAGCTCCCAATATGTATGCTCTGAGATCCCTTCTAACATTCTTAAAGTCAACTACAGTCGCCCCAACTTTAGAGTAATCCCCCACAATATAACTGTATAAACCGTGTTATTTTGATGCTCCAATATTTGCTTTAGCGCAATCGAGTATAAACTTCTGGTGAACACTGGAGATATTTCTATTTCCCTTTAGAAACTGCCTTGCCAGAACCGAAGACATGCCGTGATTATGTTTTTCAATAAAAGTTGTAACTTGGTACCCAGCTACTCCAATGTACTTAAATATAATCCTAGCTCTGCAACCAGTTCTGTTTGAAACCCTTCGCCGCTTTGGACGGGAAGGACCTTCCCCTGCATCTGCACTTGACTGCGAGTGACAATGTTGAGCTCCTGTATTCTTAAATCCTTCTCTATTGCAAACGATTTGCTTTTGAGTTTTTGTCCCGTCACGGTGCTGTAACGACGGAACTAGACCTAGTGTCAAACCCGACTTTGGCAGCATAATGATTGTAGAATTCAATACCAGCATCCAATGTTTTAAAAATCATGTCAACTGCTGGTTTGATTTCATCTTCACAGTGAGGAATCCAATACTGTGTCATTCCAGGAGATATGGTTAATGTATGACCATTGCTGCTGCTGCTGGGACTCAAACTGGGGTTGTTGGTAGATTGAAAGTCACTGGGAACTGTAACGTATAAGCATGAAGTTATGATTGTGTTGTTGCAAGCCTCTACGTGCGTAATGTGAACACTTAATATGCGTTAAGTTAATTAGATCATTGTTAATATGGCAGATTTATAAAATACAAGAGTATGTGCGGCAAGTGAGAAATTAACGTGCTTCAGGGTAATAGTTAACGTGCGCATGTTGAACAGTTAACATGCGTGAGTGTTTGTTAAAATATTATGTCATTACTTAACGTGCGTCAGAGAGTCTAGTAACATAACATGCGTCTAGAAAGGAATTAATGTGCGTGTGCTCAACGGATAAAATGTGTGAGGCAAACAGTAATATGTGCATTTTTAAAAATTATCATGCGGCTACCTAATCATCTACATGCGTAAGGCTCTAGGCTCGGATTAATTAAAGTAGCTCAGTAATTTGGTGGTTAAGTTGCATGCATGTAGTGCTTAATGTGCGTGTGATTAAGACAAGAATGATGTCAATACAAGAGCAGATAAAATTAATTCCAGAAAAGCGATCGAATTTGGGTAATACCTCGATCGAATTCTTCCATTGTTGTTCGGTTGACGTTTTTGATAGGTTTAGGGTTTATTTTGACGAATATGATATTGAACGACGAAGAGAATAGATCTTATTGCCAATTCCGTAGAGATCGTAAATTCGTCTGAGATTAGGAAATATCGAAGATTAGGAATCAATGGTGAATTTTGAAAACGCTCGAAGAAGAAGAAGAACAGATTTTCTTTTTTTTTTTTAATATAATCAAAAGGACAAAAATGCCCTTAATGAGCAATTCGCGCTTAATTTTTGCTGTTAATCTTATTCGTTCGATCAAGAGCTACGTGAGGCTTAGATTCAACCTTATTTTTCCCGGGAAGGAGTAAATGCACGGGAGCCCTTCCCTATATATATATATATATATATATATATATATATATATATATATATATATATATATATATATATATATATATATATATATATATATATATATATATATATATATATATATATATATATATATATATATCATAATCATATTCATTATTATTATTATTTTGTATAAGGGTATTTATGTCTTTAAAACCTATTCTATTTCTATTCCTTTAACCAACCGGAATACAATTACTAAAACCTATTCCTTCAGCCAACCAAACAACAGAATACAATTCCTATTCTATTCCTTACCTATTCCATTCCCAGTGGAATAGCATTCTTATTCCCTCCAAATTCATTCCGTGAACCAAACGTGTTGTAAGTCTTTTACCATCACGGATTCACGGCCATAATTGCTTGGTTCAAAATGCAACTTAATTAATAATGTTGAAAATGTTACTTATAAATAGTTATTTTGAGATATATTTTTAAATGAAATCTATTAGCGATTTTAATTAGGTTTAAGTGGATTTGAATTGTTCTAAATGAGGATATTAATTTCATATTTTTATAGACTCAAAATAGTCAATAGGTGATTGAGAATTAGTACGTTCTCAAAATTTACACATTCAATTGGCAAAAAACTGTTTTGTCAAGATGTGAAGCGGACAAAAGTATACAAGTATTTGGGACAACTTTAGGTAAGTTGGTCAAATAATTGGGTTGGTAATTACGAGGTTTCAAGTTTGACTTTCCATGAAAGTTGTTTATCTATTTTCTTGATTTGAACTAGTCAACTATAGGCAACTTAAACTAGTTTATTTGGCAAATTATATTGTGGACCGCGGTCCACAATGCATTGTGGTCCAGACATCAAATATACACTGCAGTTTCATTTCAACACAACTACAGTATCATTTTGATATAACTAATTAAGTTTCATTTCAACACAACTACAATATCATTTTGATATAACTATAGTTTCGCTGGACAATATATACTCAAGTATGTGAAATTGTTGTTCAGTTTTATTTTATATACACTGACGTTTCATTTCAACACAACTACAGTTTCATTTCATTTCAATTGCAGTTTCATTTGATAATATAATAAAAATAATACGTGAGACCGTGTTAGTATAGAAGATACACTATAGTGTCTGCCATTTTGGACCATGGTCCACAAAGCTTTGTGGACCGCGATCGACAGTATAATTGCTGAGTTTACTTCCTTGTAGTCCTTCGACAATTATGACCACAAGATGGGCTTCACCTAGAGCGTATCACCTTTAGGTAACGGCTGTTCGCTTTCTCGTAAATCAAAGTATATAAGTATTTGCATTTCTTAATTAACACAAGTATGAAATATATTTATTGAGTATATATATAGAGACTTCAATGACAAATATTTCAGGGACAAAGCATATCTATTTTAAAGAAAATGTATGCAACATTTGCTTCAATTACTTCCTCTAAGATAATACTCTCTTTTTCACATGTATCGAGTAAATTAGCTAATATGTTTCCAGATAGTAAGTCTAAGGATGCAATGTTGGAAATTTTTGCTGACATTTAAAGTGATTATTTTGTGGGATAATTTTCATCGGGGTCCATTGCAATTTAGATCGTGTTAAAGTAGATCCATGTTTTCTTAAATGAAATGTTTAATTTTATATATGATACACACAAAATAGGCTACAAATCATCTAATTGTAAGGTTCCGAAAAAAGAAGAACAAGAATTCTCAGGCTAATGTAGTTGAGTAAAGTAATAAAAAAGATGCTGAAATTATCCTCCGGCCATGATCACTGAGGTGAACCTAGTAAGCTCAAACAAATGATAATGTTGTTAGACTAAAATATCACATGCATCATAATTATGTGATTACAGGATCGACTAACCTCCAGCCATAGCTCTTTACACGGTTGCACGATCCGGACTGCTGCAGAGTATTTTGTCTCTCACTTTACTCAGCTCTCTCTAGATGGTGTATGAGGTATGTAATGTGAGCAGTGAGAGGACTAGTGACCTTATATAACCACTGGCCATCATTGTGGTTGATTGTCTTTAGGTCTCCTAAACCCTAAACGGACTCCTAATCATAATGGTAGTCTAGTTATTAGGTTATTAGTGTTGCACCACATATCAAATACTGAATATTATCATAACTCATCCTAATGTTATAATAATAGTAACGGATAAACGTTACATTCTCCCACTTGGTGCAAGCACTACCACTCAATAACAGAAAAACATCAACCATAATGATATGTTCTCATTAGCACGAGTAGTATCCATTATGATCAAATGCAAACTGCCATTGAGCACTTAATTAGGAAACAAAACCCAACGAAATAAACCTTATGTTTATTCCAAGTCCCTGAAGTACATTTTCTCATCAATATGAAGCAAATGAAGGTGTACACACTTAATTGAGAAAATGTCTGAATGCCAAAGAATTTTAAACTGAATGTATATACAAATTCCATAGTGGGAAAAAGTCCCATTTTCTGAACCAGATCCTTGAATTTAACTGAGGGCATGCATTTAGTCAAGGGATCTGCTGACACCAACTCAGTATGAATGTGTTCAAAGAATACAACTTTATTTTTGACACGATTCCTAATTGCTAAGAACTTGATGTCGATGTGCTTAATTCGACTCCCACTTTTGTGGTCTTAGCTAGGAAGAAGACTGTAGCTGAGTTGTCACAGTAGACTTTCAATGGCTTAGATATGGAATCCATAATTCTAAGCCCAGAGATAAAATTCTTTAGCCAAACACCCTATGAAGTTGCCTCGAAACTGAAAACGAACTTGGCTTCCATGGTAGAAGTAGCTATTAAGGACTGTTTAACACTTCTCCATGAGATAGCCCCACTGGCCATAATAAAGACGCACCCTAAAGTTGATTTTTGAGAATCAACATAGCCAGCAAAGTCCGCGTCTGAATAACCGACAAGATCTAAATTGTCCGTCTGCCTAAACCCAAGCTTGTAACCTTTGGTTCCTCTTAGATACCTTAGATCCCTCTTTACAGCTCACCAATAGTCTAACCCCGGATTGTATTGGTAACGCCCAAGCATTCCAACCGCAAGAGCAATGTTCGGCCTTGTACAGACTTGAATATATCCAAGACATCCAACAAGGGATGTTCTCCATGGATTCTTTCTCCAAGTCATTTTTCGGACATTGGTCCAAACTGAATCTATTCCCCTTAGATATGGGAACAGCGTTTGGTGAACAATTTTGCATATGAAATCTCTCTAAAACTTTGTTTATATAGGTTTCTTGAGATAAACCCAGTATACCCCGGGACCTATCTCTACGAATTTTAATGCCGATAACGTAAGAGGCATCACCCATATCCTTCATATCAAAGTTCTTAGAAAGAAATTGTTTCACGAAGCATCCCCTTATCATTGGTGGCAAGTAAGATGTCATCCACATATAAAACAAGGAAGCAAATTTCACTCCCACTCACCTTCTGGTATATACAGTTATCTGAGGGATTTTCAACAAAACCAAATGAAGAAATTACCCCATCGAATTTGATGTACCATTGACGGGAGGCTTGTTTTAAACCGTATATGGATTTCTTAAGCTTACATACTAAATGCTCACCACCCCTAGAAGAGAAACCTCCAGGTTGTTTCATAAAAACCTCCTCTTCTAGATCACCATTTAGGAAAGCGGTTTTCACATCCATTTGTTGCAACTTAAGATTGAAATGTGCAACTAATGCCAGAATGACCCGAAGTGAATCTTTCTTTTATACAGGAGAAAAGGTCTCCTTGTAATCGATTCCTTCTTTTTGAGTAAATCCCTTGGCAACAAGCCGGGCCTTGTATCTCTCAATGTTGCCTAATGAGTTTCTTTTAGCCTTAAAGACCCATTTACAACCAACGGCCTTGGCCCCATTAGGCAACTCAACAAGATCCCAAACTCCATTGTCCTTCATGGAATTCATTTCATCTTTCATGGCTTCCAACCATAAGTCAGACTGTGTACAATTTGTGGCTCGAGAGAATGTTTCAAGATCATTTTCTTGCCCCTATGTCAGATTCTTGTAGATACGAAACATAATAACTAGGATAACTAGGAGCTGTTGATCGCCTTATCAGAGTAGACCGTCTTAAGGTTGGACCTCCACCGCCTTGCACAGGCTGCAGGTCAACTACCTCTTCAGGAACTGGTGGCAGTTCTTGAATTGGTTCAGTCTGCATCGGCTCAGAATCTTGCTGTATATCCTGAGTTGGTTCAACCATTGGTTCGAAATCTAGTTCAGGCGGTTGCTGTAAGTCCTGAACTGGTTCTTCCAAAGGTTGATCCTCAACAGTTTGTGGAATTTGAACGGTAGGTGGTATATCTGCAGGCAGAACTAAAGGAGCACTGCGGATAAGTACCACCAGATGACGTAGAAGGGTGAGAGTCAATATGATCGAAAGAAGGAACTAAGTCCTTAAACCGATCACTCCCACTAATCAAGTCACCTTCAAGAAATTCAGCATTCCTTGATTCCACTATCCTAGTAGTATGAGATGGACAATAGAACCTATAACCCTTAGAAGATTGTGCATATCCAATAAAGAAAGCACTAATCGTCCTTGGGTCAAGTTTCTTCTCGTGTGGGTTATATATCCTCACCTCAGACGGACATCCCTAAACACGCATATGTTGCAAACTCAGTTTCCAACCTTTGAATAACTCAAACGGTGTCTCTGGGACAGCCTTGGTTGGAACACGGTTTAATATATACGTTGCCGTCTTAAGTGCTTCATCCCACAACGACTTAGGAAGCTTAGAGTTGCTAAGCATACTCCGCACCATATCCAGAAGGGTCCAGTTTCTTCTTTCAGCTGCACCATTTTGGTCCGGAGAACCAGGCATGGTGTATTGGGCAACAATCCCATGTTCTTGAAGAAACTTAGCAAAGGGACCAGGTGCTTGTCCATTATTAGTATATCTACCATAGTATTCACCACCCCTATCAGACCTAACTATGTGTATTTTCTTGTTACATTGGTTTTCAACTTCAGCTTTAAATGATTTAAAGGCATCCAATGCTTCATGTTTATGATGAAGTAAATACACATAGGAAAAACTTGAGAAGTCATCAATAAAGGTGGTGAAATATTTCTGACCAGGTATTGTCATATCAGGACAACATATGTCAGTATGAATAATTTCCAACAACGTTGTACTTCTATTGGCACCTTTCTTTGACTTGTTTGTCTGCTTACCCTTAATGCAGTCAACGCAAGTCTCAAAGTCAGTATAGTCTAGAGTATAAAGTACTCCATCCTTTACCAACCTTTTAATACGCTCAAGGGAGATATGACCTAATCTCCGATGCCACAACATTGAGGAATTGTCGTTAATACTACACCGTTTGGTGCCGTTTTGAACATGTAAAGAATTGTAAACTGAATCATTCTTTAATTTAAGACGGAAAAGACCATCAGACAATGTACCAGTACCAACACAAGTATAATAATGAAATAACTTGATATTATTGGTATTAAATTCAAAAGAATATCCGAAGGGTACAAGTCTAGATACTGAAACTAAGTTCCCAGAAAAACTAGGAACATAAAATGTCTTTTCTAACGTCATTACAAAACCATTGTCCAAAACTAAATTGCAAACTTCGACAGCTTCGACTGGTGACGCAATCTTGTTTCCAGAGAAGATGCTACACTCAGTGCCCGTTGGCTGTCTCAATTTTGTCAAATCCTGCAAAGAGTTTGCAATGTGGATTGTTGAACCAGAGTCAACCCACCAAGAATTAGTATTAACTTCTGACATATTAGATTTGAAACAAACAAAAGAAGATGGAACATACCCAAGCTTAGCCACAAGCCTTTGTTCCTCCATTGCACACATGGTTATCAACTCATTGATAGACCAGTCCACTTTATGTGTGATGTAGGAAATCTTAAAAGGATTGTACTCCTGAGGAAGGGTATCAAGTGCAAAAAACACCAAATAATCATCTGGTAGAATGATTTCCAACTCCTTTAATTGAGCCGCAATATCCCTGAGTTGCATAATGTGTTCACGCGTTCCCTTGACAGTGGAAAGACGCAAATTTCTCAACTTCATGATTAGAGTCATTGCCAAAACTTTCTTTGATTCAATGAAGTTATCATCGATAGCTTTGAGCAAGGGTTTCGCTTTCTTAATGTCCTCAAAGCAAAAACGAATTTTTCTGGAAATTCTTGACTTAATGAAGAGCACACATAATCCATTGGATTTCTCCCATTGTGCGCGAAGCTACTTGGCTTCGCCAGTGCTTTCTTCAGTAACCTCAGGGGGTTCCTCATTGAGAACAGCGTAATCCAACTCTAATAATCTCAATTGCAAGAGAATAGCATCTTTCCATTCTTTGTGGTTATCTTCATTAAGGATTGGAACATTAATTTGTGTTTGGGTGACAGGATGAGTTGCTGTAAAGAATAATAATTAATGCTTGGTTAGAATTTTCGAGGCACAAAAAAAATTAGAGAGAGATACTGAAGTACATAATATTACCAATGTAAAATTATGCAAAAGATAAATTCGGATGCCATAAAAATTGCCTGTGGGCTAAATTTTTACGCATAATGAATTTACCAAAACCGAATGGTGGAAACGGAATGGGTGCGATTTCAATTTTTCCACCCTTAATGACAAAACTACCAAAACTATATGCCGATACATAATCCCTGTGGGCAAATTATGATCATAGTATGGTATTTCATCCTAATTAACCCTACAAATATAACAAAATTGCCTGTGGGCTAAATTTTGCCATATCACGCAGAGTGAATTACAATATTCTTGCATTAACTTTATGTGAGTAAAACTTAATATGTAATTTTGGAAAAATTAAAGATGCTGTGGCTACTCTTTAATTAACCAAAGAACATA